AATTACTAATGATGAAACAGCCTAATTGTTCTATGTACAAATATCAGCAAGATACAAAATAAATTCACCAATTCCAGAACATATAATGATAGCAAATCTAACTAACAAACTACATCTACTAGATAAGATAACTACTGCTGTCAACTATAATCTAACTCTTCCAATTACATCACCTTCACAACTTATTAGTACTGTTAAAATACTTTGCAAATACTACTACTTCACCAAACTATCTGACCAATAGATTAGTATTACAACAAACAGAAAAGGAAAAAATACTTCTCCTGAATTAAACACTACACCTCTACCACCAATTCCAAACACTTTAGAAGAACTCCAAACACAACTTACACATAAACAAATTAAATTACAAACACTAATTATTACTCAAGAAAGCATTAATGACACATTGCATACCTTTAGACAACACTTCATAATCAGAAGTATTTCTAAATACCTACTAAAACTACCTCCTCTCCCACTCCCTACCTAGGATATTCTATTCATACCTGATGAGTAGCAAACAAAAATCTAATACAAAAACGACATATCCAATACAATCTTTTGGAATCTTTAACACAAAACTCATAGCTAAGCATAACTCTCCAAATAACCTAAACTATACTCATAATACTATACCACCTACAAATATCTCAAACTCTACTACTAATCTGTTACAAAGCTCACTCAAAATTCTAACACATAATATTCGAGGATTCAATGAGTATATAAAACAACAGCAATGGTTTGAATATTACAATCAAGAAAATGCAGATATTATTTGTATTACAGAAACTAAACTAAAGAATCATCCTGGAACAGCTACAACTTGTCAAACCAATACTACTATACCTTTCTTGCTTGTAACAACACATCATCAGCTGGAACTGCTATTAGTATATACCATAAACTCAGACCCTACATCAACAATATTCAAACTCTCTCTGAAGTAGCTCTTGCAATCGATTTCTTCTTCCCTAACAACAAGCTAAGAATAATATCTATATACCTAACACCTAATAATCCCTCTATAAACAAACAGACACAACAGAAAGTCATTCTCTGAACCAAAGAAGCAGCAAAAAACAAAATTCACCTAATAATACTAGGAGACTTTAACTACGATATAATCAAGTACAATACATCTAAACCTAATTACTATAACTACTTTGAAGCTATAAATTTAATTCTTCTAATTAATACTTACTACCCAAATACATCTACCTAGACTCGATTACCTTTACAAAGCCAAATTGATGAAATTTGGATATCACAACAGATAGTACATATTTTTAGCTAACCAATCCTAACTCTGACTACAATAATAACAGATAGTGATCACTGTATCATCTATACTGAATAGTTAATTAATCCTTTCTACCACTTATCTAGAACTAAGCATTATTCAAAAAAGAAAACCCATCACTATACATTAATGAACCAAGAAAGCTAGAACAACTTTTCAACATATATAGAACAAAACATCAGCTCCTTAAACATATTCGACAATCTACTAACACTTAATATCAACCAAATCTGGCATAAAATTACTACTCTAATTACTAATGCTGCTAACAAATATATATTCAACTCCACCTCTACGAATAGAAAATATTATACTTACTCTCTTCTTGCTACCAAACTACACACAGGTCTACAACTTATCAGCAGTATTATACGCTCACTTACTACTGCAAATGAATACAATCTGAATGATATTAATACTAAACTAAACAAAATCAACACCCTAACAGACTTAGAGATACAAATACTCACACTAACTGATACTACACCTACTAATCTACCAAACGCAATTTCAATTCTTAAGCAGCACCACAATACTTTATATAAGGCTAGAAATCTAGAAAACTAACAAGCACTTACTGAAAATATACAAATCCAAATTAACAAACACTATGACAACTTTAACTCTAATACTAACCTAATAATTAATAGTATTCTCGACTGACAAACTGATCTAGTAACTTTTCAAGAAATTGCAACTAGGAATACACAAATCACAAACTCTGCTCAAATTAAGACATATATAAAAGAATACTACGAACATTGGACAAAAGAAAATTCAACTAACGAGAATAAATAGAACAACTGGGAAAAAGAATACATACTGAAAAACATATTAGAAAAAGCTAGTATAATAAAATCACTAAACCAATAACAATACAAAAAATTACTCAGATCATTAACAACTCACCTAACAACAAAGCAACAGGCCCTTCTCATATCTCTAATGAAATGCTAAAATATTGTGGACCAAAATTACTAAATCTTCTCACACATCTCTTCAACCAATATCTAAATCTAAACCAAATCTCTACCTTATGGAAAAACAGCTACATATTTCTAGTCTCAAAAAAACCTAAGTTTACAGAACAACTTAACTATACCAGACCAATTTCATTAATTGAACACACTCGAAAGATCTTCACAAAAATTATTACCTGTCGATTAACTACTATGTTATCTAAATACAATATACTAAATTCTAATAACTTTGTAGCATTACCAAATACCTCAACTAGCAAACCTATTCAAATCCTAACACACATTCTTGAAGATGCACACACTTACAAAAAAGAGCTATAGCTTTTATCACAAGATATGAGTAAGGCATATGATTCGGTACATATCAAACTTTTATCTAAAGCATTCCTCTGACTACAAATCCTACAAGCTATACATGACCTAATTATTAACATCTATTCAAACTGCAACAATAATGTTATTACAAATCTGGAACTTACAGACTTATACCTTGTACATGATAGGCTAGATCAAGAAGAAACTATTACACCTATACTATGGCGTATATTCTACGACCTTCTTATTACTTATATTTGTAACAATTTCTCTAGATACTCAATGCAAACTAGAAGTCTACATACAACAAACTCAACTGACCTTTTACTCAACTAACCAGTACTAGCCTACATGGATGATATACTATGGATCAGTGATGACATATTATCATTTAAAAATAAATGACATCTTGTCATATGACAAGTTATTTTGTCATAAAAAAATCATTTATTTTTTTATGACTATTGTCATTTATAAATTATATAATTTTTTTATTAACTAATAAAAATAGGGATATTCTATAAAATAGGTAAGCAAACTCTGTAAACTCTGTTGAATATATTAAAAATTAATGATTACCTATCATGAGCGAAGCTTATTTCTTATATTGCTTACCTATTCTGTAGAATATCTAATAATAAATAAAATTTTATACAAGTGTTAATATGAGCTGCCGTCAATAGAAATCAAGCAAATCAACATTTGAAAAAAAACCAATACCTTAACTTTCAAAGCTTATTTCTCGATGAATTTTAAAGCTATCTTGATAAATTAATATTCAAAAGAAAGCGTATGATCTAAGCTTTCTTTTGAATACTAGATAATCAAGATATCTTTAAAATTCATCGAGATATGAGCTGTGAAAGTTGTTTGATTTTTATTGTGTAACTTCATGTACGTCAAATTCAGCTCAACCAATAAAATCGCGAATTTCATTATTTGTATCACCTCGCGTGTATACTGTATATCTCCCACTTTTTTAAAGAATTTGATCGAAGATATCTCGATAACTATCTAAATAAATTCTTTATTTGGATTCTCTAGCTTCTAACAATTTAAATAAAAAATTTTTAATCGTATTTGGTTGGGTGGTTGTTGAGATACCTTCGAACAAAGTCATGAAAATTTTTTCTAGATTGAAATTTTTTGAAAATTTGATTGAAGGACCCGTGGGTCGATAGCGCAGTGGTTAGCGCTCCCGGGTCACAATCGCAAGGTCGCGGGTTCGAGTCCAACTGGGAGACAAGACTTTGCCAGGACCACGATTGAAAAAAAAAAGATCTTCGGAGGACTTTCCCGTTTAGAAAAGAACAAGATCCATACGTACAAAAGCAGTCCAACGGCATAACCACGGCGTCGGGGACGACCAGATAAGGCGAATCCGTCAACAAATGACGTTAACATTGAGAAAAACCAGCTTAAGGACTAATGAAATAAAAGAACGATCCGGCTGGTGGGTCATGTGAAATTAGGGAACTGCGGACCTAGAGACCGTAGGCCCTACACCGCGGGACCAGGGACCCGGGACGTCATATGACGGACTTAATGAAGCATGAGCTATCTCACTAGTTCGGTGACATACAAAGGCCTGCAGCCTTCCGTTGATCTCCGCAGAATGATAACTCTGGCCTTAAAAGATGTGACAGATCCTAAGGTGTCTAAGGACCTTCAGGATAGCGGAGGGAGGTAAAAAAAAAAAAAAAAAAAAATATTTGATTGAAGATATCTCGACAACCACCTAACTAAATTCAATGAACTTTTTTTTTATTTGAATTATCTAGCTTTATACAATTCTAATTAAAAAAAAAAACCATCTAATTTGTTTGGGTGGTTGTTGAGATATCTTTGATCGAAGTCATGAAAATTTTTTCACAGCCTTTTTTTTTTTTATCGACGTTTGAAATATTTTGAAAATTTGATAGAAGATATCTCGACAATCACCTAACTAAATTCAATGAACTTTTTTATATTTAGATTCTCTACTTTCAGATAATTTTAAACAAAAACTTTTCATCGAATTTTGTTAGGTGGTTGTTGAGATACTTTCGATCAAAGTTTTAAAAAAAAATTTAAAATAAATTCTAAGAAAAATTTTTTATGACTTGTATCTCAACAACCACCCAAGCTTCAAACTATCAAAAGTAGGAGGCCAGAAAAAATTTTCATGACTTTGATCGAAGGTATCTCAACCACCATCCAATCAAATTCGATTAAATTTTTTTTTGTTCGAATTGTCGGGAGCTAAAGTACCCAAATAAAAAAAAAAAAAAAAAAAATCCTTTAATTCATTTATGTAGTTGTCGAGATATATTCGATCAAATTCTTTAAAAAAAGTGATATACATAAGAGATTTATTCGTCTCGGCCAACCGAAATAATTCTGAGACCAATTTAGTTAACCTATTGAACAATTTTAAAATCCCTAATAGAAGATATCGTACTAGAAGATAATACACAATGTTGATATTCATTCATAGTGGCCAATTTATTAATTACATTAATATCTATATAATATTATAATAATAGAAAAAGCTGTGGGACTAGATATACTGTATCTGTAATATTAATAATTAATACTATCATAGTCTCAACTAATTAGTTAACAATTAAAGAATCTGAGAGATAAAATTTTAACATAGGGTATGAATACAAATATGCATGTATATATAATACAACCAAAAAATCTTAAGGCGGATAATGCAGTAACAGACCAAAGAATTATTGCTATATATATGACAGTTCTTGAAGTTTGAGAAAAATGTGTTTCTAAAGTTGTACCAACATAAGAGATTACGCAAAATACTAATAGAGCATTAGAAAAAAGCCATAAAAGTACAAAACATGCTCGAAATACTTTTCGAGATTCTTCAATCATTTTTGCATGGTTAATTCCCTTATCTTCATCTTTATTTGTATTTTTTTGCCCAGAGAAAGAGACTTTAGGATTTTTTTCATCCGATATAACAATCTCATTTAATATATCAACTAGATCAACTTCATTTGCATCCTTGGTTCCCCAACTATAATTTATAAAAAAAAATAAATTATTAATTATTAAAACAGAAAAATAACAAAATTTGTATATCACATTTTTTACCTTATATCATGAACATTGCAGAAAGCATAAATATTTAGGACATTCACGTAAAATGGAATCAGAAAAACATGTTGCACGATACATAGAATCATGTGCACAAAATCAAGCATTATGAGACTTGTAAAAATATACATAATATATGTGGAGGCCAAAGGAAGAACAATGGCCCAAAGATTAGAATGATAAAAAATAGCTTGAATTCCGGAAAGTTTAAAGCTTGGAATTATCTCATATATGAAACCATTAATTGTAAGCCAAGAACCAGCAAACAAAGTATAACCCATAATAATAGCAAAACATGCCATTGAAATTTTGTAAACCCAATTAGAACTAAATGTTTAAAAAGTTCAAAAATTACATTTTAAGCAAATATAAATAAAAAAAAATAAAAAATATTAATAGTTGTCTTTTCATATTTACCTTTGGGGTTTATTGCTCATAGCAAAAACGAACTGTCCAGTGATTAATATAAAATAAATACATCTGGCAACAATAAATATAAGTTCACTT